ATTATTATTATTATTATTATAAAAAATGAAACACTAAATTTACAAGAGTCAAACAGTGCAGTGTGGTAGGGAAGAATACAGGGGTATTGGGTAACAAAAGGGAGAGGTATTATTAGTAGGGTCATACAGTGCAGCAGAGCAGGAGAAAGTGCAGGGCTATAGGGCAGCAAGAGGGAGAGGTAGAGAAGACTGCAAGGCATGCCAGAGGCAGCATCATCAAAGTTTATGAAGTAAATCAGTTGCCATCAAAAAGTCAACATGAGGGCCTGAGTTAACCCTTTCAGGGTCCGTCCCGTAGATCTACGGCTTTACGTTCAGGGTCCAAACCGTAGATCTACGCCATGAGCTCAGCTCACTCTGATAAACTGTGAGTGGTACATTTGGGCCTAGATATGAGAGAATACATCTATGTGGTATGTGTGCACCACATAAAACAGATCCTGCAGCACACTGTGTATAATGAGAGAAAAAAAATGAAATCATGATTTTTCGATTAAAACAGCAACTTTGCAGTGTTTTTTCGTATGTTTTTTATAGTTGTATTTGCGATTTCTTGGTCTCATTTGATTGAATGGAAGAATATTACAGAATGAAATGATTTTGATTGGGTTTTAGCATTGGAAATTTGGGTTGAAACTGAGTCAAAGTAGCGTAAATGTTAAATTTTTGCCGATATTCAAGAGTAAACAAACGACCCCACACGTCTAATACACATCAGTGGTGGGTCTAATTTACATTCACCAAATATGATGATGATATTTTTTACAATTATTACAGTATTGCATAACAGTAAATCTTCTATTTTTTGGTGGGGAATAAAAATTCATTATGTGAATAAAAAATCCAAATGGAATTTATTTGTAAAGCCTCAAAACATAACTAAAGAACAGAGGAAATGTTAGTTTAGTGCAAGGAATGCTACATTGTTCTTCTGGACCTATTTTGAAATTGGAATATTTTGAACTTTGTGTTAAATTGGCCAAATTAACAATTTCCCATCACTTTATTTTGTAGTTGAAACAGTTTTACTTGGCGATTTCTTGTGCTCAATCGATTTGAATGAAGTAATACTAGTGAAATAGCTAAGAATTTGGTTGTTGGAATATGTAATTGGCTAAATGGAGTCAAGTCGGCAAATCGCCGATTCGTAAATTTTCGCTGACACTTTAAAATTCGCGAGAGCATATTTCGTCAATTTTCCACCAAATTTCGTACTTTTTGTTTTATTACCTTCACAAAAAGATTCTCTACGATTTCATAAGAAAAAATAACAATTTTTTTTTTTTTAAATTCTTGGACACTGGTGCGTGACTCCAGATTTGGGCCTTGGACCCTGAAAGGGTTAAAGGAGGGTCCGTCAGCAAGGAGGGAAGATAAAATAAGGGCAGGAGAGTGGTGATGATATCAAAGGCAAATTCTGCGTGCTCATTAATAGAGTGGACAGTCCAACAGAATATGGCTAACAGAAGCTGGAACCTGACAATTCTCACAAAGTGGACCAGGATGCCTCTCCATGAGATACCCATGAGTAAGAGGAGTCTGTCCAGTGCAAAGACAGGAGAGTGCTGTCTCCCGATCTCGGTATCGATGACAAGACGACAACCAGAAACCTATACTCAGTTTAATAGAATGTAATTTGATATGTAGCAGATAAATGGGACTGTAAAAGAAGTGAATGCAAATGTGGTAGGATTAAAAATTATGAATCTAATACACAGAGGAAGTTGTTACAACTGCTCTTTCCCAATGACAGTTCTTTTGGGAGGTTTTGAGAAGTTGTGAAGTTTGGTGAATGAATTTGAATGGGTATGTAAGAGGAGGAAAATAAAAGGACATATAGAAAAGCTGCATCGGAGGGATACGGCTGATTAATTGAAGGAAAAAACATAGAAAAGAACAATGTGATGAGTAATAAAAAGTGAAAACAATGAAAGATAGGGTATAAAATTGGAGGGAGGAAGGGACTATGGTATAATGAACATATTAAGAAATGTGGAAGTGGACATGTCAACAGATGTATCTAAGAAAGACGAGATGAACCACAGATGAGGGAACAAAAGGTAGGTGGTGTGTTATGGCATCGATAGAAAGATTAGTTAGTTTATCTATGAAGACAAAAAAGGGGATGCACCAGAGAACAGCTGTACCAACATTTTTATATGGGTGGGAGGCATGGACTTTTAAACATTGCAGTGACTTTAAACGAGACAAAGTGATGATGGTATCAAAAAAATATAGGTAATGAAAGACTGGATATTAGATGGCAGGGAAGGAGTATGAAGGAAGTAAATGTGTTCAGATACATGGGACTGGGCTTATCAGCAGATGATTCTATGAGAGATGAGGCGAATCAAATAAGTGACCATGGAAAAAAGATGAGTGATATACGTACTGAGGCATCTGTGGAAACTAATGTATCCATTGATGAAAAATGGGAATATACCAAAGTATAGTGGTACCAACATTGTTGTATGGGTGTGAAGCATGGGTATTGAATGTTGCAATGAGGAGGACTCTAGAGACAGCAAAGGTATCATGTTTGAGGGTAATGTGTGGTGGGGATATGCAGAAAATTCAGAGTTTAGAGATTAGGTGGTGCAGGGTCACCAAAAGTATTATTCAAAGGATTACAAAGTTGCTGTTTGGGAATTTAGAGAGGCTGGAAAAAAATAGGATGAATAGAAGAGCACACAAATCTGGAGTGGAGGGGAGGAGGAGTAAAATCATCCCAGGAAAGGTTGTATGGAGGGGTAAAGGAGGTTTTGAATGCTAGAGGCTTGGACATTCAACATGCCTGTGTGTTAAGTAGGAGTGGAAGCAAGTGGCTTTTATGATTTCGCATGCTCTTGGCATGTCAGCAAGGGAATGTTTATGAAAGGATTCAGGGAAACTGGAGGTGGGAAGTACAGTGCTTGCACCCTGAAGAAGGGGTGGGAATGTTGCAGTTTGGAAGGTCATCTGCACTGTGCCAACACTCTTCTGGCAGGGCAGTGATTGAACATGTGACAGTGAAAGTGCTCTCTTTGTCTGGTCATCCTACTGCAGCAGGAATGGTCTGAGTGTTAAAGATAAAATAAAGTAAAAAAAAATATAATGTACAATAGGAGATAAAGTGTTAAAGTGAGAGAGAGCAAATGAGTGAACATACAGTATGCTGTAGTACTGCTAAGAGCTTAAAACCAAGAATTTCTGTATATTTGTCTGCATAATGCCATAATTATAAATAGAACGATTCCTTGTTTTAATTTGTCTCAATATAAAACTTCTACACACCACCCAGCTGACAAGAATTAGTGATAAATTTTATCATGTTACATAATTAAGTTCATTCTGATACTGAGATCAGCATGAGCCATGGTAAAATTAAACTGCAATGATACATTTCCCAACACTTAGTCTTCTGCAAATGTTATCAAAATAAAAAAAAATACATTTTTTTACATAATACTTTTTGGCAAGTATTTTCAATCATCAATGCTAACAAAATCTTGAAATCAAATCCTTCAAGACCAGAGCAGTGACTGACTCAATATATATTTTAGTTTAGCACTTGAAGCTTAACATTAAAGTAATATACAGGGTGTCATCTGAGTAAACAATATCATTAAGTTGTACACAACAGAGCAAACCAAAGATCTCTGTATTTATGTCACTGTGTGTATCACACACACCAATATATTTATCTATATTTTGTCCACTTGTAATTTAAAAAATTGAAAGGCAACTTATTGGAAGAGATTGAAAATGCACAACTGATAACATAAATGAGAAATCTCTCACATTGCTTTGATAACAAATTTTACCTATGTCATATTCATTAAACCAATTTATGAAGAGAACGTCTTATATATTTAATCCAAAATTATTAATTCGCAACCTTTAAACAATGCCTCTCATCTCATATTCCTAACATATGTCCTAACATTTTCTCTCAAAAATCTGTTATTTCAGACTTAGAAACAACTTTTACTAAGTTTTTCGTATTTAAATAGGCACTTTTATGGATTATCCCCATAACCTCTCAATATTCAAAACTTACTTTTACTAAGCTTTGAAACAATGAAAAAAGAATTTGATTTCATCAGCTCCAAGCATTATTTGCATAAAAATAGTTATAGTTTTACTTTAAAAATAAGTAGGTAACTGTATTCTCTAACACAACACCACAACAAAAATTTTTACTCAAATTTCTTTTTTGTTCTGTTTATTTCTATACCCCTGGATTTTGCTAAAAAAATTTTTTTAGCCAAAAACTATGTGACCAGTGTAAGCATAAAAATATTTTCTTTTTAATAAAGAAAGTAAACCGAATACTATGTAAAGGGGACGAGGGAAGAAATTTTTTTATGACTTTCCTAAAGAAAGGCTGGATTGGTAAGGTGAAACATTTTCAAAAAAACTTTATTTGCAATGTCTTCCCTGCTGTGCATTAACTGTCACACTATCTATACCAACTCCTCTTTCCATCATATAAAATGGACAATAATTTTAAAAAAGCTTTTAAGAACAATACCTATTGTAAATATTATGGCGCACAAACAAAAAAAGGCAATTCACTATAACACAAAATTTAAAAAGAACACAAAAAAGAATTTCATTCCATCCCGGATATTATTAACCCTTCGGGTTGGTGCCCTAATATTTCAGCATTTAACATGTCGGTCCCGTAATATATGCCAAAATTTTAGCGGTTTTTTCCAATCTTTTCCCGGGAGAAAGCTGGTACCTACTATGAGCGTTGGGTCTGAAAAGGTCATGTGTGAGTAAAAAAAATCTTGCAGCCCGGGGGCAAACAAGAAAAAAAAAATACAACCGTGTTATTTTGGTTTTTAAAAAGTGACTTTTTCAATGTATTTTTGTGTGGTATTTATGGTTGATTCTCATTTTTTTTTGGTTTCCCTTTGATAGAATGGAAGATATATCACAGAAACCGGATGTTTTGAAAGGTTTACCAAATTAAAAATGCTTGAAATTGGCTCAAAAAAGCAAAGTGTTTTTTTTTTTGATAATGTTCAAGAGCAAACAAATTATGCCACACGTCTAATGTGTGTCAACTGGTGGGTTTAATATGCATTCACGAATGTGCTGATATTATTTATACAATTATGCAGTAGTCTGAATAACAGTAAAATTCAAAATGAAAAGCAAGCATAATATAAGGCCTCAAGATGTGGCTAATGAACAGAGAAAGTGTTATTTTAGTGTCAGGAATGTCTGCATTGTTTATTCTGGCCCCTATTTTGAAATTGGCCTTTCTTGAATTTTGTGTGAAATTGGCCAAATTAGTAATTCCTGATCACTTTTTTGTCTTGTTGAAATAGGTAAATGGGTGGTTTCTTATACTCAATCGATAGAATAAAAGGAGTTCTAGTGAAATAGCTATGAGTTTGGCCAATTGGAACAATGGAATTGGCCCACAGTAGGGCTCAACGTAGGCAAAACCGCCAATGCATAAATATCGCCAAGACTAACTTTGAGAGAGTGTAATTCCACAAATTTTTCATCAAATTTTGAACTTTTATTACCTTTGGAAAACAATTCTCTATCATTTCATGTGAAAAAATATTCTTCAACACTACGAGCAAGTTTGTGAGCAGAGGTCTTGACACTCAAAGGGTTAAGTCAAGTTGTAACTTGATAATGATCCAAGACACACCAAAATGTTGTCCAAGGTTTCTTTCTCAACTTGTGGGTTAATAGTGAAGTGCTGCAGCAACAGTATTCTGACTTATTCTTGAAAAAAAAAGTTTGCAAACCAACATTTGCATCTTCAACCATGAACATAAAATGAGAGCTCTGCCTACAGTCTTAAGAAAACTAACTTGTGAGGAAGTAATAATGCCCCTGAGAACAGAGTAAAGCAGAGGAAGCTGACAAACTATGATATACATTTGCCAACTTATGTAAAACTAATCGTTGGCCTAATTATATAGTTTGCCTCACATCTAAATTATTATAGTTATTTAATCTTTAAATATATGTTAACAATAAAACAAAACAAGGGACAAGACATACAAGTGGTGCAAACATTAGAAACTGGTCCTAAACTCAAAGATACACTAGTTATAAATTATTTGAGCTTAGTCACAACCCAGGAAGAACTCATTTTATACCACGTCACCGGCACCTCACTGTCAAAGGACAACACTTGTCATTTCCGTTTCTCCTTCCTTTTAACACCACCAAATATGCTTCTGTAAGGAGATGCAATTGCATTATTCCAAAAGAACATAAGATTGGTTTTGCAGAGTGGATTTGAGTACTCATTTGGCACAATACCATCAATGTGTGCCTCAAAATAACTGAACATTGGAAACCAGATTTTAGTCCTAAATGAATCCCTCTGATGCAGGGCACGATTGTTTGCTAATGAGTGATAATAAAGAAACATACGTGATGTGATGTAAAAGGCAATAAAAACATCTATCGAATAATGCTCATGTGCAGCCAGGATAAAGAAAATACCAAAAGTATTAAGGACCCACGAAGCAATGTGCAGGTAATACATTCGTCTTGGAGTATCTGAGGAGAAAAAAAATTTTTTTTTTAGCTTTTCTAAATAATAAGTACATACTGAAACTTACATTCTTACTAATGTAAATAAATTTCGTGTACTATAGGTGTTGGCAAGCTCATGGAGTGTGAAGGGCAGGCACCTCCCTGACATAAGTCCTATATGAATAATAATAAAGTCTGTGGGAAGGAAAAAAATGCACTTACATTCTGTAATGAAGAAGTTGAGCAAAGTAAGAGCAGTGGTGTGACCGCTGAACATGTAATCACCGCATGTGCGAACCCCCTTGATACTCAGTCCTCCTCCCTGCCAGATTATCCAGGCCTGCTCCAGCTGTGTCAGTAGGTCACTGGGATCCTGAATGAGGGTGACAAACATTTGGAGAAGCCTAATATGTACATATCACAATGAAAATCTAATAATCTTTTGTAAACTGTGAATGAAATTACATACATCATTTTTTATTTAGGTATACTCTCATTTAATATTCCTGTAATATATAGTGTGTTTCCAGGTTGGATCACTTTTCTTATGCATTACAGGAAACTTTTTCATGCAATAAGGATGCCACGCCCATGATGACACTCTTCAGGTTGCTTGCTCTATCTCGGCACGAATATTGCTGCACACTAACAGTGCCTTTCAAAGCAGGCGAAATTGCCGACCTAGAAAATGTACAGAGAGCCTTCACAACACACAAAAGTATGATAAAACATCTAAATTACTGGGAAAGGTTGAAGTTCCTCGACATGTATTCCCTGAAATGCAGGTGGGAAAGATACAGGATTATAAATATGTACTTGGAAAATCCTACATGGATTACTACCAAATTTGCACACAAAAATCACTCCCTATAGTAAAAGCAAAAGACTCGGCAGGCGATGCAACATCCCCCCCCCCCAATGAAAACCAGGGGTTCCACTAGCACGATAAGAGACAACATAGTGTCAGTGACCCAAGACTGTGCAACTGCCTCCCAGCATACATAAGGGGGATTACCAATAGACCCCTGACTGTATTCAAGAAGGTTCTGGACAGGCACCTAAAGTCAGTACCTGATTATCAAGGTTGTGGTTCATACGTCGGTTTACGTGGCAACAGTAACAGCCTGGTTGATCAGGCCCTGATCCACCACAAGGCCTGGTCACAGACCGGGCAGTGGGGGTGTTGACCTCCGAAACCCTCTCCTGGTATACCCTTACATCCACTAACAGGATCCTAGTTACTTTCAACCTATAAGTTCTAATCTTTACGACTTTTCCTAATTTCTCAAATCAGTGAATTCAGTTATTTAATATAAACAATTTCTTAATAGGGTTTCTGTAGTATTTTCCAGTGATTTTTGTAAAGTTCTGTAGTGTTTATGCAGATTTTTCTTAACCCCTAACCCATAAATGGTCCAAGCAGATCTACGTTCATATGCGTAGTGCTCCAAAAGTAGATCTATGTTTTTTTTACATATTTTCAAATTAAAAAAAAAAATAAAGTAGATCAAAGTTTTTTACACGTTTTCAAATGAAAAAAAAAAAAAAAAAAAAAAAAAAAAAAAAAAAAAAAAAAAAAAAAAGATCTACTTTTTTACATACTTCCAAATGTTGAAAAAATGTATATATACGTTTGGACCATTTACGGGTTAAACTGTCCAAACGTAGATCTACATTTTTTCAACATTTGAATGTAAAAAATAAATGTAATCTTTTTTATTGTTTTACATTTGAAAACATGTAAAAAAAACTTGATCTACTTTTCTTTTTTTTGTTATATTTGAAAATATGTAAAAAAAAAAACATAGATCTACTTTTGGAGCACTACACATGTGAACGTAAATCTGTTTGGACAGTTTAAGGGTTAAATGTTTTGTCTTGTTCTAGGTAGTAGGTTGGTAGACAGCAACCACCCAGGGAGGTACTACCATCCTGCCAAGAGTGTGTGAAATGGAAACCTGTAATTGTGATACATGACGGTAGGACTGCTGGTGTCTTTTTTCTGTCTCATAAACATGCAAGGTTTCAGGCATGTCTTGCTACTTCTTCTTACACTTAGGTCACACTACACATGCATGTACAAGCATATATATACACACATCCCTCTGGCTTTTCTTCTATTTTCGTACTAGTTCTTGTTCTTGTTTATTTCTGCTAATCTCCATGGGGAAATGGAATAGAATTCTTCCTTTGTAAGCCATGTGTGTCGTAAGAGGTAACTAAAATGCCGGAAGCAAGGGGCTAGTAACCCCTTCTCCTGCATACATTACTAAATTTAAAAAGAGAAACTTTCATTTTTTACTTTTTGGGCCACCCTGTCTCGGTGGGATATGGCCAGTTTGTTGAAAGAAGTTTCGCCATGTTTTTGTATGAGACTATGATAACACATTTACCATCACTCACTCTATAACTGTCTGCTCAAAAGAATACAGCACCGTCATGACCCAGTGATGACCCACCAAACTATCACCACCACTCTACTTATGAAACACAAGCACTATCCCTGCCACTGGAATCTGCACAAGACTTATACATTGAGTACACGATAAATCTCCAAGCTAGTACTTCCTCCAACTGGAGGAAGTACACAGTATACTACAACTACACAATAGAGTGGAAAAGTAGTGTTAAAGACTTGGGAGTGTTAATGTCAAAGGATCTCACCTCCAAAGATCACAAGTGTCATTATTATTTCTGCGAGGAAAATGATAGGATGGATAATGAAAACTTTCAAAACAAGGGATACCAAGTCAATGATGATCCTTTTCAAATCACTTGTTCTCCCTAGGACTGAATACTGCTGTACACTAACAGTACCATTCATGGCAGGTGAAACTGTAGATATAGAGAATATACAGAGAACATTTACTGCACATATAAGCTCCATCAAACACCTTAATTACTGTACTGGGAACGCTAGGAATCACTTGACCTGTACTCAATGGAGCGCAGACGAGATACATCATAATCTACACCTGGAAAATCCTAGAGACACTGGTCAAAATCTGCACCCAAAATCACTCCCGATGAAAGCAAAAGATTAAGCAGACGGTGCAATGTACCCCCAATGAAAAGTAGGGGTATCATTAGTACACTAAGAGAAAACACATTAAGTGTCCGGGGGCTCAAGACTGTTCAACAGCCTCCTACCAGTCATAAGGGAAATTACCAATAGACCCCTGGCTGCCTTCAAGAGGGAGCTGGACAGATAATTGAAGTCAGTACCTGATCAGCCAAGCTGTGGTTTGTACATTGATTGTGTGTGGCCAGCAGTAACAGCCTGGTTGATCAGGCCCTGATCCACTGGGAGGCCTGGTCAAAGACTGAGTCACAGGGACATTGACCCCCAGAACACCCTCCAGGTAGTTAGTGCCAATGGCTACACTTTTAATCCAGTGGCTAATGAATAGAATTTTTGGCTTCATATCTCAAAGTACATGTATAAATAACAGGAATCCTCAGGTTATTCTTCAATTTTATACATCACTGGTTAGGCATCACTTAAGATTATGCTGCACAGAATGAAAATAAATGCATTGGAAAACTTACAATGAAGGATGACAAAGTTGATCCCAAGTATCTGAAATCTTTCCTATGAGGATAGACTGAGGCCCTGAATCTGCACTCCAGAAAGACATAGAATTAGGAGAATATGATTGAGGTGTATAAAAGAAAAACAAGAATAAAGGGGATGTAAATAATGTGCTAAAATTAGCTAACCATGACAGGACTTGCAGCAATGGTTTCAAGCTGGAAAAATTTAGATTTAGAAAGGATATAAAAAAGCACTGGTTACGTAACAGAATTGTGGATGAGTGAAACAAAGCTCCAACAAACATTACTGAAGCTAAAATGCTATGTTTTAAAAATAGATTAGACAAATAAATGAGTGAGATTGGGTGGGCATGAATGGACTGGGCCAACAGGTGACTTGGACCTGCCAAGCATGGGCCATTTGGCCTGCTGCAGTGCTCCTTCTTTCTAATGTTTTGCTTTCATTGACAAATCTTTCCCTTAGGTCTTCAACACTACCAGGAGAGTTGATAAAACCTCAAAACCAGTCACAAGTATTATTTACACACCTATCTGTTGACATTCATTTCAATGTATCTTCATCCATTCACTTCATCAGTACTCCTTCCCTTTCAATATTTTATCATCTTTACTTCCTATTCTTTTTTTACTATTGTACCTACACTATACTTTTAAAAATGTTTAAATTAATAAATACCTCTGCAACATTTTTCCACTGAACCTGTGAACAGCAGTGTGTCATTCATAAACAACATCTGTGGCAATACCCTTGGCTGTCTTCAAAAGGGAGCTGGACAAGCACCTCAAGTCAGTACCAGACCAGCCTGGCCGTGGTTCGTACGCTGGTTTACGTTCAGATAGCAGTAACGGCCTGGTTGATCAGGCCCTGATGCACTGTGAGGCCTGGCCATGGATTGAACCTCTCAATAGCATTGTGTCATCCATAAATATCGTCTGTGACAATACCCTTGGCTGTCTTCAAAAGGGAGCTGGACAAGCACCTAAAGTCAGTACCAGACCAGCCAGGCTGTGGTTCGTATGCTGGTTTACATTTGGATAGCAGTAACAGCCTGGTTGATCGGGCCCTGATACACCACAAGGCCTGGCCATGGACTGGGCTGCAGGGGCAATGATCTCAGGAGCACCCTTCAGGTATACTCCAGGTATTGTATCACACTCATTATGTTTTAAAAGACCAACCTGCAACTCAAGTTTCTTTGTTTTAAGGTCCATTTTTACTGACAAAAAAAAGTCCTCCCTTTTATAAACATCGTGACAAGTCTGAATCACTACAATTTTTGTACAGCTACTAACAATATACAGTACCACCTACTTCATACAATGTTTTCCTATTCATTATGTCATTTCAGTACCAGGAATGCCTGCATTGTTTATTCTGGATTCAACTTCGTAACTGAAATATTTTGAAATTTGTGTAAAATTGGCCAAATACCAATTTCTGATCACTTTACAGGGTAGTTGAAATAGTTGGCTGGGCAATTTCTTGTGCTCAGTCGATAAAATGGAAGACATACTAGCTAAGAATTTGGTCAACTTGAACAGTGTAATTGGCCTAAAATATGACTTAAAGTGGGCAAAAATCACCAATGCGTAAATATCACTGACACAGCAAATTTTGAGAAAGTGTAATTTTGACAGTTTACCTTCAGAAAATAGATTCTCTACCATTTCATATGAAAAAATAAAAAAAAAAAGTTTGTTGAAAATTCGTGGACAAGTTTCAGACTCGAGAACTGGACAGTGAAGGGGTTAAAACTCTGTTTCCAAATAGTATGTAGTAGGTTTTGTCTATATGGAGGATGAGAGTGATATGCAAAA